AAATAAGTAAATAAATAAGGTAAATAAAGAGTTTAAACTGAGGCAACTGAAGCTTTTTCTTTTTGTATTGGAAGAGGACTTGAATACTTGACTGAGAAAGGGAAGATTGTGTATTTTTTCTGTATATCAGTGTTTAATGATGATTTCTGAAGGAAATGCATAGCCAGCTATATAATGATCATTTTGAGTTTTATACTGTGTTGTTATATCCTGTTGATACTTTGAATGTGGTCTTGAGTACCTTGAAAGGACCTCAGGCTCCTGAGATTCAGAGGTTTGCCAGTGAGCAGTTTATGCTCTTTTTGTTCAGTTGCTTCGTAGCAAGGACTCTCTGTGACTCACTGCAGAATGCTGAAGCTCCTGCTCTTCCCTCTGTTCATGGAGTCTTTACTTGGATATCCCTAAAGACCTAGCTTTCCTATAAGTGAAAGAGCATTTAGTGACCTCTCCATTGTCGTTTATTCCCTAAGTCAACCCACTCTTTGGGGCAAAATCATTATTATCCTTTTAAAGGATGTATTTCTTTAGCTTCTGTTTGTTTTCTTTTGATGGAAGACTTCTCTGGTGAGATTGGTCATGGTATTAATGAATGTGATTTTTTGGTGTTATACAAATGAAATGTGTTAACATTTGGAATATCTCCATAACTCAGTGAATCATTATTTTCTAAATGACCCCTAAATGATGGTGCAAAGTCATACATGAGTAAAAGTTTCATTTAAAGTATAGGATAGACAAATGGAATTTAGGGTAAGAGTGTGAAATATTTATCAATATAATTTTAGCCTACTGTTTAACACAGGGAATTGCATTCAATATCCTGTAATAAACCATAATGGAAGAGAAAAAAAAAGTAGTTTTAGATTCCACATTACAACTAACCTTTAAGAAACCACCACTTGTTGAGCTTTGGTGTAGTATCAAAGAAGAACATCCAGAATTATTTGGAAAGGCTGTGGAACTACTCTTCTTTTTTTGAAGTACATATTTGAATGAGGCTGGATTTTCTTCATATACTTCAGCCAAAACAACATATTGCAACATTGAATGTAAAAGCACATTTGAGAATCCAGCACTTTAATTAAATCAGACATTAAAGAATTTTGCAAGAATATGAAACAATGCCATGCGTCTCATGATTTTTTGGGAAAATAAAGTTTTTCATTAAAAATGTTTTTATGTTAACATGTAGTAGGATTGTTATTTTTAAATGAATTAATATTTGAAACTTTCTGTTTTAACTTTTACTGTAGTAAATTTTGTCCGTATAATTCATATATGTAGAAGCTCCTTGGGGTCCCCCATACTTTTTAAGAGTATAAAAGGTTCCTGAGACCAGAATGTATGAGAACCTGTGCTGTAGTGCTTAAGCAGGGACTTGGAGCCAAATTGCTTAAGTTCAAAACTCAGCTTTATTATTTAATAGCTCTGTGACCTTGGACAAGATACCAAACTACTTTTGGCCTCAGTTTCTCATCTAAATAAAATGCTATAGTAATGTAACTTGTAGGTTGTCTTAAGGATTAATTTGAATATATGAAAAGTTCTTAGAATTTATATAGTACTCATCAGGCTATATAATTATTACCTTTTGAGCATTTGTAATGTATTGGTGTTTTCCTTTATAGATGCCAGGTTTCTAAATTTCTGGAAATTCAGTGTTTTGTGGTATTAACATGGTCTATCATCAGTAAAGTCCCTGATACCCTTAACTTCTCTACACCATTCCCCACCCCTCCCCCCGACCCCACCAAAGTCAGTGGTTCTCAACCTTTGCTGCATTTTAGAATCACCTGGGATGCTTAAACAAACAGACCCTCTGTGCCCAAGACACACTTCAGATTGACTCAGTTAAACCAAAACCTGGAGGTGGGAATAGGGACCAAACAGTATTTCTCACTCTTGAAACCTGAATATTCAGATCCTCTGCCCTGAGATTCTGTCTTTCCCTCCATGCCCTCAAATAATTTATTTATCACAGCTGATTTCTCTCTCATCTTTTGTATCACTGAACTTGGAGGGGCGGTGGGTGTTCTCCCTGCTTGATGCTGCTGCCAAGGAAATCATCATTCCCTTTTCCCTGACACCCCATCCCCAGCCTTGAAACTTAGCCTATCAGACAGTAGAACACACCCCTCCCTCCCTGTTGTTATCTAGAGACATCCTTTGAAGATTTTAGCGCATGGCTCACAGTTATTTTCTCAGCACTGTTGATTGCTCTTTTTGTGATTGCAGGTGATTTAATATTCACATAGATGCTTTAATATTCACATAAACGCTCCTTCCCACATGTGGGCAGTCCCTGACTTCCTTTCCTGCAGGATCTTGTCCTCCCTCCACCTCCCTCAGCCAGACACATGCTCAGCCAGGCCTTGTCAGTGCCCATTACAGATCAAACATCCCGTTCTCTGACCACACCTCCTGTCTTTTAGAATTCATTCTTCTTAGAATTTCATCGGCAACAATTCTTCCAGCTAACCAGGACCATTGGTCCTGTCATTTTTCTACTAACTCTTACTTCTCTTATGAACTTACTTTGCTTTTTCCTGGCTTAGGGTGTCCATGTCCATAATTATAATCATTCTTCTGCAGGCCTTCAAAGATCTCTTGCCCTTCTTTCTTTGTATTGTACTTACCTGGCAAAATCCCAACCTTTGTTAAATCTAAATTCCTCCCACTCTACATTGCACCCACGTGAGGGAATTTATGCTGATTGGTCTCACTTAAAAATCATACCTCAAGCTCAGTGGGGCTTTTAGTGCTGTCTGGAATTCCTCCTCCATTTCCCCAGTTCATTCATTGTTTATTGTTCTAAATGACTATTGCACACTCTCTTCTCAAACTTCCTGTATCCCCTCCTTCTTCCTCACTCTCAGCTGATGGCCTTGTTTCAAGGAGAAAATGTAAACTCTTAGGAGAGAACCACCACAAGCTTCTATCGCCGCATAGAACAACTTGCCTACATTTGTAATCCTAAACTGGCCTTTTCTTTTGTACCTACAGATGGATTCTCTGTGCTCGTTTCTAAGGCATCCCTCTTGGAGATCCCATTCTGCCTACCTAATTGTTACCTTCCCTGACGGTGTTCTGTGCCCACTTCCCTTTTCAGCAGCATGTTCCCCCCTCTCTATGGCGATATTTCCTCAGACTATAAACATCTGAGCAAAACTTTCTCTTCCCCTCTGGTTACCAGTGTGTGTTGTCTGTATCACATTTCTAATTTCTTTCTACTCATTCTCGCTTAAAGCCTTTACAGTCAAGCTTCTACTTCACCAAGTTAGCCCTTGTGGAGTACACTACTGACCTGTGTGTCAACACACCCAGCCGTCAGTTCCTAGGCCTTCTCTTACTCAGCAACACCATTTGGCACAGCTGATCACTTCTCTCTCTTGAAGCTCTTCCTTCATCAGTTTTCTCAGTAGCATTTATTACCATCTGATTTTGTTGATTATTTATTTTGGCCAATGAAACTGTAAGCTCCTTTAGCAAGGACTTGGTTTATTCCTGTCACTGCCTGGAACAATGCTTGATACAGAATAGGTACTTGATAAGTATTTGTTGAATGAATGACTGTGAGCTTAAAAGCAGCTATATATTTGTCAGATCTTTCCCATCTCCTTTCCTGGTCAGGCTTTTTCTCCAGACCTTGCATTTCCTAATTGTATTTTCTGTCATCTCTACTCCATTCCTATCTTTTTCAGGCTGAACCACCACCATTGTGCTTACATGTCTGTGGGGCTCTAATGTTTACTGAGCATTCATTTATATCTGGTATTATAGATGCAGATGGTCTGTGGATTTGAGTTGAATGACATTAGCATTTAATGCTGAATTTAGGTGCAGATGGAAGAAATTAAAATTATGAAAGAATAAGAAACAAGTCTTTAACGTTAAAATTATGGTCTTCTTAGGATGTTTTGTTTTCTTGTTTTGTTACTACGCTACTTTACACTTTACTGTTTCTGCCTGCCCATAGTGGAATTCTCCTTGATTGTCTGCAAGCATTTTTAGAAAGCAGGAAAAATCAACAAGTTCAAGAGGCCCTTCTGACTTCAGCTCCAAGCTTATCATTAAGAATAGTTTTTTAATTAGATTATTATTAATCTAATAATTTAGATTAATTAAGAGATCTCTCTAATTAAGAGAGATCTGTTTCTCTTTTAGATTATTTGTGGGAATATAAATTGGTGCAGCTTCTATGGAAAACAGTATGGAGGTTCCTTAAAAAAACAAAAACTAGAGTTGCCACATGCCCAGCAATCTCACTCCTGGGCATATATCCAGAAAAACTCTAATGGGAAAAGATACATGCTCGCCAATGTTCATAATAGCATTGTTTGTAATAGCCAAGACATAGAAGCAACCTAAGTATCCATTTGCAGATGAATGCTAAAGAAGATGTGGTACATACATACAATGGAATATTACTCAGCCATAGAAAGAAGGAAATAATGCCATTTGCAGCTACTTGGAGGTTAGAGATTATCATACTAAGTGAAGTAAATCAGAAAGAGAAAGACAAATACCCTATGATATCACTTATATGTGAAATCTAAAAGATGATAAAAAGGAGCTTATTTACAAAACAGAAGCAGACTCGCAAACTTAGAAAACAAACATGGCTGCTAAGGGGAAAGGGTGGGGGAGGGGAAATTAGGAGTTTGAGATTAGCAGATACAAACTACTCTATATAAGATAGAGATGCAACCAAATCCTACTCTATAGCAAGGGAACTGTATTCACTATCCTATAATAAACCACAATATGAAAAAGAATATATATATATATATACACATATATATCTGTGTGTATAATTGCATCACTTTGCTGTACCCCAGAAACTAGCAAAACACTGTAAATCAACTATACTTCAATTAAAAAAACTAGTCTATTTCTCTTAGATTTTCATCCGTCTTTCCCTCTATATTGATGAGCCAATGTGATACTGGATTTGTGTGAAAACTCATTTGTTACTGGGCTTTTCTTTTTGGCTTCTACAGAACCTTGCCTCCTGGAATCCGTCAAACCCTGAATGTCTCTTACTGGTGGTGAAGGAACTTGTGCAACAGTATCACCAGTTTCAGTGCAGCCGCCTCCGTGAGAGCTCCCGCCTCATGTTCGAATACCAGACGTTACTGGAAGAGCCACAGTATGGAGGGAACATGGAGATTTATGCCGGGAAAAAGAACAACTGGGTAAGGTTTTTCGAGAAAGGGAGAAAAAGGTCACTTTATCTGTAATAGAATAAAATAATCAATTCCAACATTCATTTATAATAAACCCTGGCCATTTCCTTAGATAAACATGATTGAGGATGCCCGGATATTCTCTCAGTCTCACACCCACAGCCCCTGACTTCTGAGTGTCTGCAGCTGGGAATATGAGTCTCCAAATTTTACAGGCTTCCCAGGCGATATCTTTGAGAAACCACATAAACAATAAGGTCTCTTCAAAACTCTGAATTATGAGAAAGTATGTGATATCTCAGTCAGACGAGAGAGGTCAGTAACTCCGGAGGTAACTAGCTTATGTGGAGCCTTTTATAATTTCTTTTACATTGTGTGATCCTTTAAAGACACAAGCCAGAGTGTATCACTCCTCTGTCCAGAACTTTCATATCCCTCTCTTTTTCTGTCACAGTAAAAGCCACCGTCTTTCCAGGGGTATAGAAGAGCTCAGCCTGATTCCCGTCACCACTATCCTCCATCCATCGTTCTGCTCTCTCTTCATCTCCTGCTTTCCTGTCTAAAAATAATCATCTCAGCCACACTAGCGCCTCTGTGTGCTGCAGACACACCAGACATGCCCCTGCCCTTGGGTCTGTGCATAGCTTTCCTGTCATCTGGCTTGTTTCCCCTGTATAATCACAAAGCTAATGCCCTTCCTCCTCAAAGATTTTACTCATATGTGACTTTCTTAGAAATGCCTGTATTAACACCCCCAATTTTTTTAAACAACTTTTTTGGAGATATTATTTTGATATCATATATCCACCTGTTTTAAGTGTAAAGTAAGTTGAACAACCATCATCAATCCAGTTTTCCAATGGTTCCATCATCCCAGTGATATCTCTCAATGCCCATTTATAGTTAATTCTATTCCTACCCCCAGTTTTGGGCAACCACTAATCGAGTTTCTGTCTATATAGATTTTCTTTTCTGAACATTTCATGTACTTGCATACTTGGGAAATACTGTGGGTTTAGTTTCAGACCACTGCAAATAAGCAAATATCAAAATAAAGTGAGTTGCATGAATTTTTTGGTTTCCTGATACACATATGAGTTATGTTTACATTACACTGTAGTCTATTAAATGTGCACTAGCATTATGCCTATAAAAAACTTTTGATATATTCTGCTTAAGTCCCGCATACACACAGGGGAGGCATTACATAAGAGTATGAATCCCACCAGAGATCATTGGGAGCCTACCACACTTACTATTATGTTTGTTGTTTGTTTCCCCCCAATGGAATGTAAAATTCCACAAAAGCAGAGATATTTGTTCACTGGAAATATCGTAAATACTTAGAACAGTGCCTGGCATATTGTTTACATTCCATAAACATTTGTTGAGTGAATGAATGAATGAATGAATGAGTAAACTCTAGTTTATTTAAGCACAGAGTAAGTTTAGGTTTCCTTCTCTTTGTTAAGCCTTTCAGATTTCTCTCAGTCTTTCTTTTCTTAGGTTAAACATACCTCTCCCATTTTGCTCTTCAGCTCTTTCTCAAAGGACATGTTTTCCAAGGTCTTACATGTGATGAATGCCTTTGAATCAGTGAGACTAAAACTTATCCTTGTTACAAATCATCTTGTTTGTTCAGTTCAAGGTTTTTTTTTTTGTTGTTTGTCTGTTATTTTGTAAATTTATTTTGTTTATTTTATTGTGGTAAAAGACACGTAAAATTAAATTTGTCATCCTAACCATTTGTAAGTATATAGTGCAGTGGTATTAAGTTTGTTCACATTGTTGTGCAGTCACTCTCTGGAGCTTTTCCATCTTGTAGAACTGAAACTCTGGACCAATTTAAACACTAACTCCATTTCCCTCCAGCCCTTGGCAGCTACCTTTCTACTTCCCGTCTGTATGATTTTGACTCCTTTAGATACCTCATATAAGTGGAATCATCTAGCATTTGTCTTTTTGTGATTGGCTTATTTTGCTTAGCATACTGTCTTTGAGGTTCATTGGTGTTGTAGCATGTGACAGGATTTCTCTCCTTTTTAAGACTGCTTGCTATTCCAGTATACACTTATGCCACATTTTGTATATCCATTCATCCGTCAGTCAGCATTTGTGTTTCTCTCTCCTCCTGGCTATTGTGAATAATGCTGACTACACCTGAGTATATATAAAGATACTACTTTGAATTCTTTTGAATACATCCCCCAGAGTAGGATTGCTGGATCATATTGCTAATTCTGTTTTTAATTTTTTTTTTTTTTGAGAAATCTCTGTACTGTTTTCCATAGTGGCTGCACCATTTTATATTTCTACAAGTAGTGCAGAGTTCAAGGTTTTAAACTATTATTTTGAAACTTTCATCTATTCATATGGATAGTAAGGAAAACTTCACAGAACTTAGTTTATCCTCTAATCCAAGCATTTCTCTTATTAAACAATCAATTTAGTTGTCCTTTCAAAAGAGTTATTAGGTTAATTTGGCATGACTTCTTGATGAACCTGTTTATGTTGTCTTTAGTACTGATAGATTCCTTTAAAGACAGGAATCACTGTCAAACTAATTGGTCTTTAGTTTTTAGGATTTTCCTTCCTACCTAATTCCCCCTTTTAATATTAAGGCTGACTTTAAATTTATCCAGTTTTATGGTGCCATTTATGATCTAAGAATGTTTGAAATTATGTTCATTGGCCCAGCTAATACTTGAGTTGTAGTTCTTCTGAGTGTAGGAGTATAGTTAGATAGTTTGAATTTATAGTATATTTAAAACTTTCAGTTTAATGTTACTGATTCTCCATTCTTTACTTATAAAACCTACTACTGCTATGTTTACCCCCAGTTTATTTTCATATGCTGTTGAGTGGTTTGTAAGCATCAGGGCAATGATTATGGACTGAGGGGAAGTAAAGAAACTGAGAACCTTGTAACAAGACAAGGTGGGCAATTAGAGGTTAAGCTTACAGCAAACCAACCCAAGGAGGAGATCAACGGAAGTAGGAGCTGAGACACTAGAAGTAAAAATATGGGTATATGAGTTAGTTCCTGGTCCAAAAACAGAACATAAAGGTGAGTCTTGCAGGATGAAACATTGGAGCTTGATGTGCTGCTTTAGGAATATGTTAAAGGACAACTTGCTACTGGAATTCAAATATACCCCAAGAATTTGGTTGACAAACATGGGACCCTAGCAGAAAGAAAGGAGTTTGATTTTGAGGTGAGATCTTTTGAATCAGAGGCTATATTAGTTTCCTACTGCTGCTGTAACAAATTACCATGACCTTGGTAGCTTAAAGCAACACAGATATATTACCTTATAGTTCTGGTGGTCAGAAGTCCAAGGTGGGGCTCCCTGGGCTAAAATCAAGTTCTTGACCAGGCTGCACTCCTTCTAGGGTCTCTGTTTCAGGGCTGAAGAAACCAAAGAAATGGGCAGATGTGCTTCAAAGGTATTATCTTTGAGAAATGGAGAAGCAGAAAGATCCTCAGGGCTGTAGAAAGTAAACACATTCTGGAGATTTTTAAAAGAAATTGCACTCAGGTCTTTAAGTGGATGATTTAAATAAGAATGCAATAGTTAGTTGGAAGAATAGTTAGGTAAGTAAGAAACAGTTTTGGCAAACTTATTTTATCCTTTTAAGGAAGGTGTATATTATTAGATTGTCTCATTTTCAGTAAAGCATTCAGTCATTCTCTCTTAGTATTCTACTTTGTGCTCCTTTCTTAGTTGTCTGAGTCTCTGGAAGAGCTACATCTAAGAGATTGGATGTACGTCTAGTTTGCCATCAGATGTCTTGTGAAATGTCACAGAGCTGCTCCTTTGATCCTATTTTGTTCATTCTTTTATTAGGTAATTGAAAGGCATGCTTTTCAGTTTTTCTGATAACACAGAGCTTGGAACGACAATTATTTTGAAAGACTACAGAATCAGTATTTTAAATTATATTTATATGCTCTGGAATGCTGCACCATACCCATAAGATATAATTCAACAGGGCTAAGCCAGTGTACAACTGATATAGAAAGTCTACTATGCTGCTAATGATTCGAGTTAAAAAAAAGTAGTCCTGGCTTTTGCTGTTGAAGGTGTTAAAATCCAGTTAAGAAGACTCAGCACGTATTTGTAAAAAATGAAATAGCAACATTAAATAGATTGCCTCAAATGGAATGGACAGCCTGTATATGAATTCAGAAGAAGACCCAATCACTGAGAAATGAAGTAACTATGGAGCCTTCACTGGTGAACCGGAACTGACCTAGGCCCTAAAGGAAGGTGGAGATAAGTAGCACTGTAGGTGGAGGAGGTCAGTGGGTTATATGGTTGCAGAAAAACTTAAGAGGGAAATTCCCCAGCGTTCAGCGATTAGGACTTCCACTGCAGGGGGCCCAGGTTCTCTCTGGTTGGGGAACTAAGATCCTGCAAACCATGTGGTACAGCTCCCAAAAAAGAAAGAAAAACTTATAGGCATAGCATATGTGGGAGACAAGAATTGTAAGTATTCATATGACTGGTTAACAGATTAGTAGATCACATCTATTACGTCTTATTGTAGCAAGAAAACATTTTAATATGAAATAAATTGATATAGGAAATAAAATATGAAAACTAATATATTCTTTTAATAAAATAGAGTAAGAATCAATATGTTCTTCCTGGGCTGAATGTGAATCCATGTATTGTGGTTCTCCTGATCCTACTAGTCCACCTGATAAATACTTTCTGTAAGGAACCTAAGACTGTGCATAATGACTGAAGACCTTTGGATTACAACATCCTGTGTTCATTTGAGAGGATGGTGGCTTTCTATTCCCCTTTCTGTTTCCACCTTTGCCATTACTGAAGTTTTCTTTCTAGAACGTATGTTTACGTTCTTAACCTTCCATTTCTGCTCTTAAAATCCTGAGATGCCTCTTCTGTTTTACCATCAGTTGGCAAAAGGAAAAATTTAAAAACCATGTAGAAGAGAGAGTGAAGGCTCTTATCTCCTGTCAGCCTTCTGACAAGCATGTT